GAGTTCTTCTTCTTCCTCCTCTCAGTCGACCATCTCTTCCTCACTCTCTCGCTATCTGGCTTCTCGGCATCCACAGACTACGAGCGAGAGAGAGGTTGGTGACTTTGGGGATGTTGATACAGTCTCGACTTTGGGATCGAGATATTGACGAGGGACTACTTGGGATCGATACCAGGGACACATGTGTGACGACATTCCCATCTTCTCCCTCATCTTTGTTTAATCCCCCCTCCTCTTCGTCTGTGGATGTTTGGGGGCTGGCGCATCCTTCCTGTGTGAGCGCCAGGCCCCTTTACATCTTGTAATGATGATGATGTATGTTTGGTCTGCATTGCAACATTGATTGGGTTGGTCATTGGTATCCTAGCATTCTGCTGCACTATCTTGTACTATGTGAGGGAGGTCGGTCTTTGTTCTGGTTTGCACCATTACGGTATGCAACAGTTTGGTATCTCCTCCTCCTCTCACATGTGTGAAGTATGATGGGAGGTCATGTCAGTCCCGGTCAGGTCAGGACGTATATCCAAGTTTTCCACTGCGCTACAAAGTGCCATTTTGTATGTATCAGGATGTACACTGCTTGTTGAGATTCCACTAACACTGCATTGTCCATTCAGTCCTTTTCATCACCTTGCGGATCCATGGCTGTACATACATTGCCCAACTGGGCATGTTTCAGTTGGTATCGGGGCACCGCACGTGAATCAAGACAACCTGATCTGACATCTGGACCTAACTGCCGAAAATCGAAATTTTTTCTTTTTCTGAAAATTCCAATTTTCGTTGTTCTTTTTGTTTAAGGGAGATTGGGAGACCTACTGAACTTGCAAAACTCGGGATTTTTATTAATTTCTCGAATTTTTTTTCTCGGCAAAAGTTCAAACTTTTCTTTTTGATTAGTGGCTCCTTATCTGGGCGATTTATCCCACCCACCCCTCCCCACCTATGTTGTTGCCCCCTCTGGTCATATCTTCTCTATTTGTCTCCGGGTACCCCTTGCGGCAACATTGGTGAGTTGCCACGTCAGCAGGCCACGTCAGCAAACAACGTTAGCAGGCCACGTCAGCAGGACACATCAGTAGGACACGTCAGCCGACAGCCACGCCACGTCAGCCGACAGCCGCGCCACGTCAGCCGACAGCCGCGCCATGTCAGCAGTCGAACAGTGCCACGTCAGCAGTCCTCCGGCCTGGTCTATGCTCACGCGCTTACAAAAAGCCGGCATGGATCGGAAGTCCGGGGAAACGGCCGAGGCCTATCAGTCCCTGATGTTGGCTTTGATTACCGAAGCCAAGAAACGGTCGGATGAGGTAGCAGCCGCAGAGAAGAAGAAGGCAGAGGATGCCGAGAAGGCACGCCTGTTGGCAATCGAATATCAGCGCTAGCAAGACGATGCAGCAGCAAACGCTGCCGATGAAAAACGAAATCAGTGACACGAGAAGATATTCAACGGAGAGCGAGCTTTGCTCACAATGGCAGCGGACTGACGAGCCGAGGCTGAGAATGGTAAGATGGAAGAGAGTGAAAGCAAGATCGCTCTACTCCTCTCCATTTCACGGATCTCCTGGCAACGTGCATTGCACAGCAGGAGGACATACACAGCCTCGACGACGCGGCTCAGACGCACAAACGGGCGTTTGATCAAGTCAACAGTCGTCTCCAGCAGCTGGAGCAACGACCCGTCACCGCCCCGGTTGCCAGCTCCTCCAACACCTCCGATCGCCTCAATGCATTGAAGATTAACGTCGAAGATCTCAAGGACGACGCGCAGCTACCACAAACCGCCACGCAACAACTGGAGTAGGGGATCTGTGCTGCTGCCGCCAACCTGAGTTCGGCACTGCGCGAGACGACTCCAAAGTTCGATGGTCAGGAGATCTTCTGCGATTCGACGAAGATGGACCCGATTCCGTGGTTCCGCAAGTTTGAACTTAAGCTGCAGCTACATCACGTCGGCGAGGACAAGAAACACGCATACTTATACTCCCGGTAGGAGGGCGCGTGCCAAGCATGGTTGAACAATATCTTGTCCAAGTATAGGGTGGTAGCTGCCGACTTGTACACCAAGGTCAGTTGGGATGATCTAAAGGCGGCGTGGCATAAGCGGTTCCAAGTAGAGTCGCCGGAGATCAAGGCAATGGACAAATTGTTGACCTTCGAACAAGGCACGCTGCCGAGTGTTGGCTGGATTGCCGAGTACCAACGCTTGACATCCGCCCCAGACATTCAGATGGGCTTCAAGGCCGTCAACCACTACTTCATCACGAGGTCGTGTCCGACATTGGGCAACGCCTTGAATCACGTCGAGGACACCCTGACGACATTGACGGAGCTTTTTAACAAGGCCGCGCAGATCATTGTCACGAACAAGGAGGCCAAGGACCTCAATCGTTCATCTGCGACAGGCCCGAGCAGAGATCAGCATCGACCGAAAGTGGTCGTGGTTGTGGCAGCAACACCAACCGACCCTTCTAGCGAGGTCGTGTCTGCCAATGAAGGGGACAGACTCGCAGCCGCCCGGGATGGTGGCTGCCCCAGCAAAGGCCGAGGACGTGGCAAGATGAAGACAAACGCCATATCTATCACCGGGCCCGACGCAACAGCTCCAGCCCCATGGTCCCACTGTGATCTCTCCAAACATGCGTACAAGCTGCGCACGAGATTCCACTATTGTCTGTGGTGTAACAGTGATGTCCACGACACAGGTGGGTTTCCAAACAAAAAGCAAGGGCAAGTCAAGAAACTGAGCACCACCGAGAGTGAATCGACGACATTCTCGACGCCTTCGGAACCGGTCGCTTCGCGGGTGACCGCCCTTCGTTCTGAGGCACATGGAAGTTGATAGTCCTCCTCTTCTATATGAGGACTATGCTACCCGACTCGTTGCTACGGTGGGTACTCATGCTCAAGGATAAGACGTGTGTGCGGCATCTTCGCTGTCTGGCAGCGACGACTTATCGTCTTCAAGTGGTTCTTCACGGGATTCGGCGCGAGAGTTTAACATAGAGGTCTTGGACCCGCTCATGTCGAAGGATTTTGCATGGCTTCCTCTCCCGACCACGGCCCGCATGTCGGGACCCCAATGCGCAGTATTATGCGCTCATCTCCATACGTATCTATCCTTCTATGCACCACCAACTTCGCGGACGGATGACGAAGTTGTGGTGGGGGACATCCTTGCGTATGTTACCAAGGTGGCCCGCGAGTTTCGCAAGCAGCGGTATGATGACAATAACGCACCGCTCCTCTATGTCCGCATCCAAGTTGGGCAAGCGTCCTGCAACGCTTTGCTGGATAACGAAGCGACTCACAATTTCATGAGCCAAGCCGTTATGGAAAGGGCTGGCCTTGGCGCACAAGTTCGGAGGAAGGCAAACCCGACGGCGATCAAATTGTCGGACGGAAGGACGCAACAACTTATCGACCGTTACATCAAGGCCGTACCGGTGTATTTCGCACCTCATGCATGCGAACTGGTGACGTTCGACATTTTGGACACGGACTTCAATATCATTTTGGGAATGCCTTGGCTTGCAAGTGCGGATCACACGGTCAACTTCCACCGGTGGACTCTTACCGTTCGGACGCCTTCGGCGCCGAAGTGCCGTGTACTATTCCTCTTCCGCACCCTTCGATCTGGTGCCAAGTGGTGATGGCCAAGTCGTTCCGGGCTACTCGCGCTCACGAGCAACCCGATGAGATAAGCCTATGCTTCCTACGGATCGTCGCGGTAGCCGACTCTTCCCCTACGAACTTGTCTTCGGACCCCCGTGTGGTGCAGTTGCTTGACGAGTTCATCGACATCTTCGAGTCACCTACCGGTGTGGTGCCGGATCGGCCAATCTCTCACGAGATCATTCTTGAGGCCGGTGCCATGCCGCCGAAAGGTTGCATTTACCGCATGAGCGATGAGGAGCTTACGGTCCTCCGCACGCAACTTGATGACTTGTTGGACAAGGGCTGGATCCACCCTAGTAGCTCCCCATATGGAGCGCCAGGTCTTTTCGTACGGAAGAAAAACAAGGATCTACGATTGTGCATCGACTACCGCAAGCTCAACTCGCAAATCGTCAAGAATGCGGGGCCTCTTCCTCATATTGATGATCTCCTTGAGCGATTGGGTGGCGCGAAGTACTTTTCTAAGTTGGATCTGAAGTCATGATACCATCAAATTTCGATCCGTCCGAACGATCACTGTAAATCCGCGTTCAAGACACGGTACAAACATTTTGAGTGGGTGGTCATGCCTTTTGGCCTCACCAATGCCCCGACGACCTTTCCAACGCCAATGACCAACCAGTTTCGTGCGATGTTGGACTGGTTCGTGCTGGTCTACTTAAATGACATTCTCGTCTATAGCCGGACATTGTAGGATCATCTTGAGCACCTTCGACGAGTGTTGGAGACGCTCCGCCGCGCCAGGTACAAAGCCAACCGCGACAAGTGCGAATTTGTCCAGCAAGAGTTAGAATACTTAGGCAATTTTGTCACACCGACGAGCATCAGTCCGTTGTCGGATAAGATTCAAGCCATCCAAGAGTGGCCGGAGCCGCGGAACGTCACAGATGTCCGTTTGTTCCCTGGCCTTGCCGGCTACTACCAACGTTTTATCAAGGGGTACTCGAAGATCGCGGCCCACTTGACCAAGCTTCAACGCGAGGATCGACCGTTCGACTTCGGGGAGGATGCGCGGGAATCATTCTTGGCTCTCAGAGCCGCATTATTGTCCGCAGAGGTCTTGCAAATCTACGACCCGCTATTGCCAACGTGCGTCACTACGGATGCGTCCGACTATGGCATTGGTGTTGTCCTCGAACAACACGATGGCGTGGACTGGCACCCGATCGAGTACAAGAAAGTGCTCGTCGTGCACTCCATTAATGATGCACGCAAGAAGGAGCTCTTAGCCTTCGTCCACGTGCTCAAGCGGTGACGACACTTCCTCCTTGGTTGAAGTCAATTCCAATGGGTAACGGACACCAATCTGTTGGTCTTCTACAAGACCCAAAACACCGTCAATAACACAATCGTCCGTTGGATGGCTTTCATCAACCAACTTGACGTCTTTCCCGATCACATTCTGGGGAAGTCTAACTGTTTCGCGGATGCTCTTTCACGGCGTCGGGACCGCAGTCTATTCGACCTTCGAGATCGACGACGACCTGCGGGACAGCTTCATCCGCAGCTACCAAGCCTACCTTGAGTTTTGCGACAAGTACGTGAATTGCTCCTCTCTTAATCCAGCGCCTTTTCACTACCGGATCCAAGAGGGGTACTTGCTTGTCCACACGCAGAGGAAGGACCTTCTTTGCGTACCAAGTGACTCTCACTTGCATACACGTCTTCTTGGCGAGTTCCCCGATGCTCCCGCAACCGGACACTTTGGAGTCAATCGAACGATTGGCCGACTTCGCGAGCACTTTTGGTGGCCCGGCCTTCTCGGCGACGTCACACGCTATTGCGCGCCATGCGATGTTTGCCGACGCTGCAAATCCCACAACCATCGTCCGTACGGCGAGTTGCGACCATTACCGGTCCCCTTGTGCCGAAGGGAAGCGATTGCCATAGACATTACCAAATCGTTCGCCAAGCACAAGACCGGTGTGGATGGGATTCTCACAATGGTCGATCGACTCACCAAGTTCGCCATGTTTTTGCCTTGCCGCTATCATGCCAAGGCACCGAAGTTGGCCGAGGTTCTTTACGGCGGTTGGATTCGAACCGAGGGTTACCTCAAGGAAATCGTCTGCGACCGTGACACTCGGTTCATGTCCGATTTTTGGTTGGCACTCATCAAGCGATGGGGCTCATCTCTCAAGCCGAGTTCGGCTCGCCAACCCCAAACAGATGGTCAAACGGAGAGGGCGCATCAGACTGCACAGGTTCTCCTTCGCACTCTCATCCATCCCGACTAAAAGGATTGGGTTGAGCAGCTGCCGAACGTCGAGTTAGCATACCACTCGTCCATCCACCCGGCTATCGGGATGTCGCCCTTCGAGTTCGGGCACGACTTACCGATCACTTCTCCATTGGACACAATCATTCCACGAGCGGTCGAGAGCGACGACCATCTTCTTTTCTTGCGTCGGATGCAAGAGCTACTTGTCAAGGCACGCGACCAGATGGCTAAGATGCAGCAACGCATGAGCCAACAGGCCAATTGCCAGCGTCTTCCTTGTCCATTCCGCATCGGCGACCTCGTTTGGGTTTCCGCCGCGGAGTTCAGCCTCGAACAAGATATCTCTGGCAAGCTCCTCTCGGAATGGATGGGGCCCTGACCGATCGTGGCACCCGTTGGGGATGCACCCGAAGGACCTTCCTTCATCATTCAGGTGCTCGCCCACTTGCCCGTCTACCCGGTCTTTCATTGCTCCAGGTTGACTCTTTACACGCCAGCAGAACATGACGATTTTCGCGGGCGACGATCGCAATACCCACCCTCTATGGACGATTTTCAAGAGGTCGGTAACATCATCTCCCAGCGATGCTACAACAACAGACCGACCGAATACTTGGTACACTTTGCGTACTACACCCACAAAGCTGACAATTGGTTGACCCGTGCGGAACTCCAAGCAATAGCTCTAGATGTTCTCGCACACTACGAACGCAAGATGCAACGCAAGCCAGTATCTTCGGCTCCACACCGCACCCGCGTCCAGGTTCCACCTTCAAATCGCCAGCTTCGCCCTCGCCCCGGCTTGACTTCATAAGGAGGGGGGGGGTGTTACATATTGCGCCTGCAACATGCTGCGCCTGCAAAGAAGGGCCATTTTCAGGCCCTCGGTCGTTTCAGCCCGAAAGCCTGAAAACAAGGGCCTACAGGCCCTATGTCGTTTCAGCCTGAAAGCTTGAAAACAAGGGCCTACAGGCCCTGTGTCATTTCAGCCTAAAACAGGGCCCTCCAGGCCCTGAGTCTTTCCAGCCTGAAACGGAGGGCCATTTTCAGGCCCTCATAAGATCGACCTGCCCTGAAACTTAGGCACCAGACCAGGGTTTTAGCACAGGCCATTTTGAGCCTGTTTTCAAGACAACCTTTGTTTGAACTTCAACGCCAGGGTCTGACACGTTTTGGCATTGGCAAGAGCAGCCTCTTGGACGACCCTGCACTATATAAGACTGGCCTTCCCTGCAGGCTGCAGGTAGTTCAGGAGGCAGGATGTAGTCTTCAGGATTCGGCAACGACACTCTAGAGGAGCGCCGCAGTAGTAGTAGTGGCGTTAGCAGTAGTCTTCAGCGCTGGGCGCTAGTATGAGCTAGAGTGGCACTGGAGAGAGAGAGAGATTTCGCGGAGGCCAGGGAGACTTACTTGGAGCGCCATAGCTCCAGCTTCGTCTTCGAGGTACCTGCAGCACGGCGCCATCTTCAAAGGTTAGTACCTGGCACATGAGAGAGAGAGAGAGAGAGAGAGAGAGAGAGAGAGAGAGAGAGAGAGAGAGAGAGAGAGAGAGAGAGAGAAAGAGAGAGAGAGAGAGTTCTTCTTCTTCCTCCTCTCAGTCCACCATCTCTTCCTCACCCTCTCGCTATCTGGCTTCTCGACATCCGCAGACTACGAGCGAGAGAGAGGTTGGTGACTTTGGGGATGTTGATACAGTCTCGACCTTGGGATCGAGATATTGACGAGGGACTATTTGGGATCGATAGCAGGGACACTAATGTGACGACATTCCCATCTTGTCCCTCATCTTTGTCTAATCCCCCCTCCGCTTTGTCTGTGGATGTTTGGGGGCTGGCGCATTCTTCCTGTGTGAGCGCCAGGCCCCTTTACACCTTGTAATGATGATGATGTATGTTTAGTCTGCATTGCAACATTGATTGGGTTGGTCATTGGTATCCTAGCATTCTGCTGCGCTATCTTGTACTATGTGAGGGAGGTCGGTCCTTGTTCTGGTTTGCACCATTACGGTATGCAACAGTTTGGTATCTCCTCCTCCTCTTACATGTGTGAAGTATGATGGGAGGTCGTGTCAGTCCCGATCAGGTCGGGACTTATATCCAAGTCTTCCGCTGCGCTACAAAGTGTCATTTCGTATGAATCAGGATGTGCACTGCTTTTTGAGCTTCCACTGACACTGCATTGTCCATTCAGTCCTTTTCATCACCTTGCGGATCCTTGGCTGTACATGAATTGCCCAACTGGGCATGTGTCATTACCTTCTGCGTTTTCCCTCCCACCCAACCCTTTGCCTGCATTCCCGGTTTGGTAAGTGCCACGTCAGCGGCAACAGTGCCACGTCAGTAGTGCCACGTCCGCAATAGTGCCACATCAGCAATGCCACGTCAGCAGGGCCACAACAGTGCCTTGCCACCATGACAATTTCAGCTTTGGGCATGCCAGGCCAATTGGCCAACGAGTCCATTGACGAGTACCGACAACAGTTTCTAGCTCAGCTCGCACTGATCGAGGCTGAGGTACAGCGCCAGGCGGCAGCCAAGGCTGCCCGTCTACAATCTGAAGCAGAGGCAGAAGCCGAAAACAGAGGCTTCAGGCCGCAGCTGACGCAGATGCCCAGGCCCGCCTCAAGGAGGCCCGGGATCTGCTACAGCGGCACGAAGCCACCAGCATCGACAAGCTCAAGTTCAGGCATTTCAAACCATCCGACGGCCATGACGATGCAACACCGGAAGAGCAGCACAAGGAGCTCCTCTCCAAACTCGTGACCCGGTTGGTTTACACTAGTAACCACCTACAGTTCGAGTTAGAGAAACAACACCAGGAACTGGCGAAACAGCACCAAGAACTGGAGAACCTCCGATGGCCAGTGTGGAACCACAAGGATCTGCACGAGAGTGCTACACGGGCACTTGATTCCCGTGTACAGGACTTGGAGCAAGCAGCACCAAGACCAGACGTTGGGGAACCCAACAATGCAGCCTCAACCCGCCAGTTGGAGCAACGAGTTGACCATGTAGTCGCAATGCTCGGCGACATCAGCACCTTCGCCCCACCAGCCACCATCAGCGAGCAGCTCAACACCTTGCAGACCGAACTTAGGCAGCTACACCAGCTGCCCAACAATGATCACAACACCAGTGCATCGAAGCACTACAAGATGTCGACGTCCAGGATCGAGAAGGTTGACGACTATACGCATCAGGACCTAGTCGTCTGGTAGCAAGGCTTTACAACGGAGCTTGGGATTCATGAGGTCCCCGAACATTTGTACATTGCGACGTTGTTCCTCAACGTCAAGGGCGGATGCCAGATCTGGCTCAGCCACATGCCAACCACCCACGACGTCCAGATCAACAACTTACACAAGAAGATCTCCTGGGAAGATCTAACGAGAGAATGGAAGAGGCGGTTCATTGTTGACGACGCCCCGACGCTCGCCATCAACCGCCTGTTCGCCATGACGCAAGGCAACACATCGACGCACCACTGGCTCACGGAATGCCAAAAGATCGTGGCAACCCCCGACCTGGACTTGCCATTTTTGCATTTGCGCCAAGGGTTCTACAACCGGTCGTGTGCCGCCTTGAGCCTCGCACTCGGTGATCGCAAGCAGTGCACGACCTTCGCCGAAATCATCGACGAGGCGCGAGAGATCATCAAGACCAACCGGGCGGCTGCACACGAGAAGCCAGCGTGGCAGCCAGCCTATGTGGAGAAGGGAAAATTTGGTCCACGTCCGCAGCCCGTCGCTGCAGTCCAACCGGACAACATTGTGGAAGACCCGGCAGCCACCCCAGCATCACATGAGGGAGATCAGGTGGCTGCTGTCCAGCCGCGATGCAACAACAACTCCCGTGGAAAAGGGAAGGCGCAAACCGCATCCCCGGCCGAAAACGAACAGCCAGTACCATGGGTAAAGTTTAACTTGACCGAGGCCGAATACAAGTGGCGCAGCCAGTATGGCTCCTGCTATTGGTGCAACAACACCAAGCACAAGACCTCCCAATGCCAGGATCCACGCAAGGAGAATGTTCGACCTCGAATCAGCTCGGTAAACTGAGCTACGCAGGAGGTGAGGCGACTCCACCTCTCACTCGCCCAGATTTGGCCCCCGGTTCACTTACGAGGATTACGCTGTCCATTTGGTCCCACTGTTGGACCAACCACTCCACGTGCAACAATCCACCGCATGCACGGTTTCACCACCATCGGCAAACGATTCGGCAACTTCGCTGCCAACTTTCGTCGGGGATTCGACGTTATGGTCAAGACTTGAGAGACTCGACCCGTTGACGTTCGCGGACTTCCAATGGATGCCCCTTCCCCCGACCAGTCGATTGTCGAAACCACATTGCAACGTGCTCATGGCACAATTGCGGGATTACTTGCACACTGCAGCACCAACTCTGTTGATGGACGCCGGAGTAGAGGTTGTTGACCTTCACGACTACGTTGTGAAAATCGACCGCGAGTTCAAGACACAACGGTACGACGACATCAACACGCCATTGTTGTGCATACGCAACCAGATCGGAGAGGCGACCTGCAACACTTTGATCGATTGCAGAGCTACTCGCAACTATATCAGCCAAGGCTTTATGGTACGCGCTGGCCTTGGGCCACGTGTTCGGAGGAAGTTGCAGCCCACGCAAGTCACATTGGTCGACAGTCAAACGCACAAGTCAATCGACCGATGCATTGATTTCATCCCCGTGTACTTCGCCCCTCATGCAAGCGAGGTCGTGTCATTCAACATTTTGGACACCCAGTTCGACATGATTTTGGGCATGCCATGGCTGCAAAGCGAGGATCACCCGGTGAACTTCTACCGCCGCACCGTTCACGTTCGTGATCGGAACGGAGTACTAGTCCCATGCACGGTGCCTCCACCTCACCCTTCGATTAGCTGTCACGTGGTGTCCGCCACAAACATTCGAGCTTCCATCACCAAGGACGACATCGAGGAGATGGGGGGGTGTTTTCTCCACGCCCTCCCTCCCCGTAACATCCCATCGACAGACGCATCAACATACCCACGCATCACGGAGCTTCTCGACGCCTATGGTGACGTTTTTGAAGCCCCGCACGGAGTAGTACCGGATCGGCCCATCCGCCACGAGATCATCCTCGAGGTCGGGGCCGTACCTCCACGTGGTTGCATCTACCGCATGAGCAAGGAAGAGTTAAGTGTGCTACGGGCACAACTCGACGACCTTCTTGAGAAAGGCTGGATTCGGCCTATCTCTTCGCCATACTGTGCTCCGTTCTCTTCGTCCGGAAGAAGAACAAGGACTTGTGGCGGTTGTGCATCGATTATCGCAAGCTCAACGCGCAAACCGTCAAGAACGCTGACCCTCTTCAGCGCATCGACGACCTCTTCGAACGCCTGGGCGGCGCTAAGTTCTTCTCCAAGCTGGACCTCAAATCCGGATATCACCAACTCGAGATCCGACAGGAGGATCGCTACAAGACCACGTTTAAAACACGATATAGGCATTTCGAATGGCTGATTATGCCTTTTGGCCTTATGAATGCCTCGGCCACATTCCAAGCGGCTATGACGGAGTTCTGACACATGTTGGATAGATTTGTACTCATCTACCTCGACGATATCTTGGTGTACAGCCGGAGTTTGGACGAGCATGTGGAGCACTTGTGCACCATTTTGGAACGGCTACGACAAGCCAAGTACAAAGCCAACCGCGACACATGCGAATTCGCGCGACAAGAGCTCGAGTACTTGGGCCATTTTGTGACGCCGCAAGGCATCTGTCCGCTCGCGGACAAGATCGAGGCCATCCGAGTATGGCCCGAGCCCACCAACACCACAGACGTTCTGTCATTCATGGGGTTGGCAGGCTACTATTAACACTTCATCACGGGGTACTCAAGGATTGCCGCACCATTGACGAGATTACAATTGCCAAAGGTGCCATTCGTATTCGATGACGACACGTGCCGATCATTCCAAGCACTCAAGACGGCCATGCTCATGACACCCGTCCTTAGCATCTACGACCCCACCTTGCCAATGAGAGTGACAACCGACGCCTCCAGCTATGGTATTGGGGCAGTCTTGTAACAACACGATGGCGACGATTGATATCCCGTGGAGTACTTCAGCCATAAGGTGCCTCCCATCAACTCACTTGATGATGCAAGGAAGAAGGAGCTGCTCGGGTTCGTGATGGCTCTCAAGCGATGGCAACACTTCCTCCTTGGGCGTCGTAGGTTCACATGGGTTACGGATAACAACCCGTTGGCCTACTACAAGATGCAAGATAAAGTGAGCAGCACTATCGGATGATGGATGTACTTCATCGACCAATTTGACTTCACAACGAAACATCTCGCGGGCCTCTTCAATCGCGTAGCAGATGCACTATCGCGAAGACCCGATACACATCATGCCTTCGCATTCGACGAGGAACTTCTGCGGCATTTCATTCAGGGCTACCAGTCCGATCCGGAATTCGCCACACTATATGCACAGCTATCTTCGGATCACCCGCCGACCAGCCATTATCGCATCGTCGACGGGTACGTGCTTCTCCACTTGCGAGGCGAGGACTTATTGTGTGTCCCACGAGACCGTCGCCTTTGGACTCGCCTTCTCGGCGAGTACCACGACTCGTGACTCGCCGACCATTTCAGAGTCAATCGGACTATCACACAACTTCGGCAACGACTCCGATGGCCCGACCTCATTATCGATGTCACTCTGTATTGCGAGTCTTGCAAAGTTTGTCGTCGAAGCAAGCCCTACAACCGCAATCCCTACGGCGAGTTGCACCCGTTGCCCATCCCACGGGAACCCGGCCTCTCCATTGTTATGGATGTCACCCTTGCAAGTACTACGCCACGGCTCCCGAACTTGCGCGCCTCTTGCACGCCGGCTGGATTTGCAGCCACGACGTACCGGAAGACATCGCCAACGATGACGACACTCGTTTCATGTCGGCATTCTGGACTTCTCTCATGCAGGAATCCGGCACCAAGATGGAACCAAGTTCGGCTCGGAATCCACAAACGGTCGGGCAAACGGAGCGGGCACATCAAACCGCTCAAATGATGCTTTGTACGCTCATCCGTCCGGATCAGAAGGATTGGGTTGACTGCCTCCCCGACATTGAGTTCGCCTACAACACTTCGTTGCATCCGGCAATCAGCGTGACTCCATTCGAGTTGCACCACGGTGTCCGGAAAGGCCATATCTTCGCTGATCTTCTCCTTCCATGAACAGCCAACATAGACGCCGCTTGCTCTCCTGCCTCCCTCCGGAAGTACAGGGAATCGCTGACTCAAGCCCATGCGAACATGCAAAAGGCTCAAGTGCGCATACAACAGCAAGCCAACCGGCGTTGCGTGCCATGTCCCATCCGTGCCGATGATCTGGTTTGGGTCTGTGCAGAAGAGTTTGCGCTCGAACAGGATCAAGCTACTCCCCAAGTGGTTTGGACCATGGACCGTCCGTTCAGCCGCAGGTGACGAGCCCGATGACCCGTCCTTTGTGATCGATATCCCTCCGCATCTGCTGGTCCATCCAGTCTTTCACGCCTCGAAGTTGGCGACATACACGCCAGCAAAGGACGATGACTTCCCGGACTGGCGATCGCAAGACCCTCCGTCTATGGATGGTCATTAGGAAGTCGACTGCGTCATCATGGATTGCAAGTACGACAACAAGCCTCGACAGTACAAAGTTACCTTCAAAGCATGCGATCCTGACGACACTCAATGGATTTCACGAGCAGCTTTGCAAGCATCCGCACCTCTGATCTACGCTCACTACGAACGACAGAGACTAGCTAAGGAAGCTTCACAACCTGCCCCTCCCACTTGAACTTTGGTCCCTCCCTCCGACAGGCAGCTTCGCCCTCGCAGGTAAGCTCGGTCTTTCAAGGAGGTGGGGGTGTGGCATATTGTGCATCCACACGGGCGTGCAGGGCCCGACCAGACGGGAAATAAGGGCCCTCCAGGCCCTATGTCGTTTCAGCCTAAAAGCCTGAAAACGAGGGCCATTTTCAGGCCCTCATAAAGTCAACCTGCCCTGAAACTCGGGCGCCAGACCAGGGTTTAGCACATGCCATTTTTAGGCCTGTTTCAAGACAACCTTTGTTTGAACTTCAACACCAGGGTCTGGCACGTTTCAGCATTGGCAAGAACAGCCTCCTGGATGGGCCAGCACTATATAGAATTGGCCCGCCCTGCAGGCTGCAGGGAGTTCATAGGGACTTCCCACGCAGTTCACGCGCACTTCACATGCAGGAGGCAAGAGTCAGTCTTCAGGATTCGGCAGCAGCACTCTGGAGGAGTGCTGCAGTAGTAGCAGTACCGTTAGGAGTAGTCTTCAGCGTTGGGCGCTATTAGGAGCTAGAGTAGCGTTGGAGAGAGAGAGAGGGTTGGCTGAGACCAGGGAGACTTACCTGTGGCGCCATAGCTCCAGCTTCGTCTTCGATGTGCCTGCAACCAGGCGCCACCTTCACAGGTTAGTACCGGACTGAGAGAGAGAGAGAGAGAGAGAGAGAGAGAGAGAGAGAGAGAGAGAGAGAGAGAGAGAG